ATTTTTTCTTTTTTAACAAACGCATTGTGGAAAGGATAAATAGATTGGCAAGCCTCTTTTATTCCTTCCCCAACACTGCCTGGAATCACCTTATTTACTACTTCTCTGTACCTCCCTGCTCATGATTTTTACAATCTTCTTCTAGATTTGGCTGAGCATAAGAAGTCTTCTAAATCTGATACTGTGCTTTTTAAAAATTGTTATTATTTCTCGTAAAACCCATTGTGGTAGACAGAATAATGGCTCCCTCGCACCCCCACCCTCGACCCCAAAGATGTCCACATACTTATCCCAGGAACCTGTGACTATGTTAGCTTACATTGTACTGTGCTTTTTAAAAATTGTTATTATTTCTCGTAAAACCCATTGTGGTAGACAGAATAATTGCTCCCTCGCACCCCCACCCTCGACCCCAAAGATGTCCACATACTTATCCCAGGAACCTGTGACTATGTTAGCTTACATTGGCAAAAGAAACTTTGCAGATGTAATTAAGTTAAAGATACTGAGATGGAGAAATTATCCAGGATTATCTGGGTGGGCCCAACTGTAATCACAAGGGTCCTGTTAAGATGGTGCCAGGCGCATCAGATTTAGAGAAGATGGGACGATGGAAGCAGATGTCTGACTGATGAAGGAAGGAGCCAAAGCAGAAAGTGTCTCTGGAAGCTGGAAAGGGCAGAGAAACGGATTCTCCCTCTAGAGTTTCCAGAAGGAACAATACCTTATTTTTACCAAATAAGACCCATTTCAGACTTCTGGCCTCCAGAACTGTAAGAGAATAAACTAGTGTTTTCTACTACTCCGTTTGTGCTAATTTGTTACACCAGCCACAGGAAACACACCTACACAGAACAGATGAAACAGATAACTATCCATAGCTTTGAAGTCAGCCTAGTGTCTGACTTCATGGTCTGCCATTTTGGGGCCATGAAACGCATTTTGTTACAGGTAAGATCCATTCCAAGGAAGTTTGTCAGGCAGTTTTTGCCTGGAACAGTCTCAGTAATTAGCTTGAATTCTAAATGCCATCTTATCTTTCTGCCACAAGACACACTTCAGAAACATGGCCCTTGAGACCACATGCCGTTTTGGTTCTTTGAGTATCTGTAACTAGTATTTTCTTATGATGTGTGTCTTATGATGGACATAGCTGGTGCTTTCACCTCGCACCAATCTTCCTTAGAAAATGAATAAATTCCTTTCTTCTGGGTTCCTTTCTGGCCACCTTTTATGAGGTGCTTGTTCCTACTGACCACCATGGTGCTGCTGAGAGTGCCATGTGCAACCACTGCCAGCTGATCGTAGTAGATGGGCCTTTACTGTGGTGGGTCTCGGCTCACAAGCCTGAGTGCATAATGGTGACAGCCTCTCTGCCAAGACACCTGCACAGTCCTGCTCCATACCAGATGCTGGTGCTCAGCTTCAGTCACAGATGTTCTAACGCCCAGTGAAGCAAAGTACACAGCTGCCACTTTCAGACTACAGACTGCAGCAGTAATAGGGTCAGACTGTTGAGCTTTGGGTCCAGTATCCAAGGATGAATGAAAATCACTGAGGAAATTCTCTTGCTGGAGGGCCAGAAACTCAAGAGTTTGCTACTATTAAACTCCACATGGTAGCTGTATTAGTTTATCTCTGGTGCTTATAACACAATACCTGAAACTGGGTAATTTATAAAGAAATGAAATTTATTTCTTACAGTTTTTTTTTAATTAAAAAATATTTTTTTTGGAGGGGGCACCCAGATTATTTCTCACAGTTTTGGAGGCTGGGACGTTCACTGTCCAGGGGGTGCACCTAGTGAGGGCCCTCCTCTGCATGGGAACCCTCTACAAGGTCTCCTGGTGACACAGGGTATCACACGGCAAGAGAATGGCAAGAGCAAAAGAGCGAACCTCACTTGCTCTCCTCATAAAGCCATCAGAACCACACCTAAGACATCAGTTCATTTGTGAGGGCACAGTCTGCATGACCCAATTACCTCTTAAAGGGCCCACCTTCCACCACCATATTGGCAATAAGTTTCAACATGAGCTTGGGAGACAGTAAAATCACAGCATTCTGCCCCAGCCCCCCAAAATTCATGTCCTTCTCACATACAAATACATTCATTTCATCCTCATAGTCCCAAAGTCTTAATTTATTCCAGAACCAACAAAAAGAAATCCAAAGTCCCATCTGTGAAATTAAAACAAGTTATCTGTTTCCAAGATACGATGGTGGAACAGGCATATGACAGTCCTCACACCCAGTCAGCACTCAGAGGCCCCACCTTTCAAACACCATAATGGAATTTCCCACCGCCTTAACACTGTTACAGTGGAGATCAAGTTTTCTACCACATGAACTCTTGCATTACACATGTCAAGAAGCTGACAATTGCTCATTAATCATGAATTTCCCAAAGATCAGCCGTTCTCAAACCTGGTTGCATGTTGCAGTATCACAAGGAGCTTTCTAAAAAGTGCTAATGCCTAGGCCCCACCCCATTCCTGTTAAACCATAATCTATGGGGGTGGGACACGGGCATTGGTTTTCATTTTACAAAAGCAAAAGCAAAAACTCTTCAGGAGATCTTAAGTGTTGAAAACAGCAATCAAGTTTGAAAACTATTGCTCTCAGTTCTTGATTTTTATAGGACAAACAGTCACAGTCCAACCATCCCGACTGCCATCCTTGGGTCTAGATCCCAGATAAGTACTTGGCATACAGAGAAACATTTTCAGGCATGTCTGTGGGGATGCTTGCCTCACATGTGTGACTGTGGCAACCCACCTTGAGCAACACCTCCTTGCCCCAGTCATGCACCACAAATGTCTGTGGTCACAGCTTGTGGCCAGCACATTAAAGATAAATTTTACCAGGACTTAGGCTCTCTGTCTGATTTCTATAAACCAAAATGGTGAACTCTTCTTCTATGAAGATCACCAAAGTATCAACAAATTTGTGATCTAAGACCTCTGCTGCTTCCAGAGATGCCTGAGCTAGGTCAGATCCTCAGGGCACTAGGCTCTATGAAACTAGGATCCCTCCCCTCTTGTCTGGGAAGGTTCCCCAGGAAGCCTGTCCAAGGACAATTTGAATACTATGATAACCTATGGCTTCAATGCCCTACCTTCCAGTGTTTAATGAGTGGCATTTTGTATGGCATCCTGAAGACCCTGGAGTCTACCAAAACGGTAGAGGCCAGGTAGTGATGGAGAGCTAGGAATGTGGAGTCGTCACCACCACTTCCTGCTGACTGGCCTTGGGAAAGTGACTTTGCTTCTCTCTCTCTCTTTTTTTTAACCATAAAACAATGACTGCATTTGTTTTGCTCATGAATCTGTAATTTGTGGAGGGCTTGAGAAGGACAGTTCATCTTTGCTCCCGTTAGCATCACCTGGGATGATTTGAGACTGTTGGGGTGAGCAGGACTGAAGCCATGTTGGGACCTAAAAC